ATCACTCGGCGAAAGAGTTCAAGACAACGTACGGTTAGATGTTATTCAAACATCGATTGATAAAAATGCACCCAAGGGTCGTGAGAGTCTGGTCCTTGACCGTGACAACGTGGAAAGCAAGTTGCAGGAAGAACGAAAGAAGGAGAGCCACCGCAAGAGTGATTCCAAGAGGGACAAGGATGGTAGTATCTTCTCGTCCATCTTCGGTGGAAGTAAGAAGAAGGAGGAGAAAGAGCGAAATGCGAAGAAGACACAACATCTCAAGGTTCCCGAGGAGCCAGTATATAAGCCCCTAGTCCCAGATGTGGATTACCACTGGACAAGATTTCCTCTTCTCGAGGAGAGAGCGATATATCGAATGGCTCACATTAAGTTGGCTAACCCCCGCCGGCCCTTGCTCAGCCAAGTTCTACTGAGCAACTTCATGTACAGTTATCTGGCTATAGTTCAGGCGATGCATCCTCAAATGAATGTGCCCATTTCGCCGCAACAGAAACGCTTGGAGGAAGAAGCTCGACGGAAGCAGCAAGAGCAGGAATACCTGGCTCAACAGCAAATGCAGGAAGAGCAAGATGCCCAAGAAGCCATGGATCAATACGACTTCGATTATCATCGGGTAAGAGATACTCAGACAATTATGTAAACGACCTTGCTAATTTGACTACAGGCCGCGGTACAATACGGCGAGTCTGGTAACGGTAACGGAGAGGTTGATTATGTTGACGATGCTCAGATTTATGAGGATGAGCATGGCACAGATCACCACCAAGACTATGGCTACGACGATCCAGAAGGGTACGGGCCAGGATCCAAGGAATATTACCATCAGTACCATGACAATGGGAACGATCGTCGGCAGGATGGGCGAGAGGATATGTGGTAACAGGCTGAGTAGTTGTGCAAAGCTCATTCGCAGAGTTGATCATTATATATGTTAATGTTTTTATCATCACCGACTATCATTAGCTGCCGGGGCAAGTGCCTCAGACAGCGTGCAGCGTTTTCAATCAGCCCTAGCATATGGCGGAGTTCCGGAAGACGAGCGCACGAGGGCGTAACAGGCTTGCAAACATACACTTCCAATTTCCTTTTCTCCTTTGTGAAAGAAGAATGGCCACGAGATCGGCGTGGAGACAATCTTGTGTGAGCCTTTCTTGGTCTTCCTGTTTTCCCCTGCGCTGTCAGTCTTTGCAATAATGTTTGGTGGAGTTATTTGTTGGAGCACTGGGATGAGCGTTTATCTTTGAAGAAGCGACGGACTGTCTGGCATAGGAGGAGAAAATAGTTCGTTTTCCTTGGGAGACTAATACTCAAGATGCTGGACACATATGTCTTGAACTGCTGTTGACGGTGTCGTCAACAACGATCAGGAACAGCATGAGGGATGAAGCTGTAGGATATGATCTAATAGAGATAGAACTGCTAGTATATGATGTTGGAAGTGTCCTTGAGCATGGTTAAATGTAATGCGATGCAGTTCGTTCTGTCAAATATGCGCACCTTATTGTTTAATGATATTTCACATCGGTTTTAAAACCGGAAACTTTTATACGTAATCTTCACCACTAACGTCTTTCTCAAGGTCCCAAGAGTGTGAAGTGCTTCATTTACTGCCCGAAGCCCCAGCTCCAAACGTGCCTCGTCGACGATAAACCTGATTAATACAGGCAAATTCCGTATTACCGGGCTTTATATATATATCTACTAATATTTCCTAGAGTCTCTAGAGTTCATAAGAACAGCGCTAACACTACCAATTGCCTTAACCTCACAGCCTAAGTATGAGGAGGTTAGAGGGATCATGCGACTGCTGTGCCAACTTTAGCCACAACCGCCAATAAAGTATGTTTGATGAAATAGGACATCCCTTGATGTTGGTAGTGGACTGGGTAATCGGCTGATCAGTGATACTACAGTCAGAGTGATACCTCGGGTGAGGTACGGAGCCCAGTTCAGTTTCCCAGTATCGTCCCCTTGACGTAGACTGTAGTCTAATGTTGCTAGGGCATATGAACTTACCACCGTCCGCTCCGAGGGATCATTACAATAGCAGAGAGGGGCACATTACACTTATAATGTTCAGGACGCCGCTGGAAGGTGTACACATTTGCCTTTGTTTTTACGTCCGATTTTAGTAGGCCAGAGTTCCATTACCAGTTGATGAAGTACTGATCAGGAGGACTGAAACTGAAAGATGAAGCAAGCTAGCCTACGGGAGCACTGAAGTCACAGTAGCCTGATGCACCGGTATATCAGTTAGAGACGTCAGAATCAATATCTCATGGCTCTTGCACGTAAGTAAGAGGTAACTAACTGTGCTGCTCTCGATCTTGGGATTCCAACGAAGATGAGCCTAGATACCTGCAACAAAAGGATTGTAATAGATGTCAGATGGAACAACGAGAGATACCCAAGAACAGGCGAAATGCTAGCATAACAGAACCGACTTGTTCAGAAGGCTCTATGTCAAACGTTTCCAGATGTGAAGTTGTGGGAGACCTAAGGCCTCCTGTCGAAGCCTCGAAACTTTGAATTTTGTAGCGAGGTTCTTAGAAGGGTACAGGTGAGATGGAGGTTGCTAAGATGGAACTAGAACTTATCTATTCGATCCTTTGCAAAGTTTGATACTGACTTGGTTGTCTGGGTGTCATTGTATGGCACAACAACTGTGGACTATAAAGACAAATCATAGGGGCACTATAAGATAGAAACTGGCACATCTTCATACGTCCAAGTGCTGACAAAACTTCATGATATGAAATGAGTAGCTTGTCAACGATTTCATTTACTTGGTGATACCCGTTATTGACCATGATCAGTGGGCAAAGAAGCCAGCCGTTGCTAACATTGCGAGCCATGCCATTACTGGTCGGAAGCCGAATCAGAATGGATCCCAAGTATGATCAGATACGCGCTTACAGGTTACCATCCGCAGCGGTGATCAGGGGACGGCGCTTATGAGGCCCACAAAGCGAAGAGACGACAGCTTCAACTATCTGTGTACGTAGGACACTGACGAATGCCTCGTAATCGAACCTGAGTTCTATTCTTGTTTATGAACAAACACCCAATATGCAGCTTGGAGGCCCGGGCTGAATTCAATGCATCTTCTTCGGTCCTGATCTTGCTATTGGTCCGGTAGTTAGACTGATGATTTCCTAAACCGGCCAGTTGAAGAAGCAAGGGTCATGAGAATGCGGATGGGACAAGTATGGCGTTTGAGTCAAAGTCCATATCGTATACCAACCTAGTAGTGACATAGAATAAACTCAAACCGTCTCAGAGTTTACAGCATGTGGTTGAAGTTTATTTACAACGCTCCACCGTTGTGGCTCTCAGCCCAAAACGGCCCAACAGGAACAACCTTAGCATCTGCAGTATCCGTGCCTGTGTCGTGCGATATTATGGTGTTGGTCTGTTCCGTACTCGGTATATGGAGACATACATATTATCAACACCAGGAATAATACATAGGTAGTGACGAGGGTCAAATGAACGGTTGTGGGCTCAGTCTTGCTCCTTCAACCCCAACATTTTTACTCCTGACTCCTGACTCCTTGGCGGCAAATGGCGTCGGTGGAGGCAAAGCTGTTCCAAGAATTCGTGATGAGCGCCCTCGCTTTTGTTCGTTCAGCTAGAAAAAAGCAAGCCTAGAAAAGCATAAAAGAGTCGATCTATTCCCAAGGAGAGACATTTTCGGCATGGTAAGGAATGTTGCATTGTGCGTTGATATAATAAAGTTGCGGCTTGTAGACTATCGGCCGAGTCTAACGAACAGCATGGCTGGGTAGCAAGGTAATATTGTACATCCTGCGAATGACCAGGCGAAAAGAAGAAGGAAATGAAAGTCTCGTTGCCCGTAAATGAAGAAATACCCTTTCCAATTGCGGTCCCAATAACTCATCGTACATACAGACAGATACCTTAGACAATCTCTTATTCGGGTGTAGCTAAGATCGAACCATGGTCCGAGCTCAAATCCTGATGGCTTGGCTGTAAGGGGTAGCGAGAAGACGACATCATTGATGGAGTCTTTGGCGTCACACCTCATTCTAGCACTGCTGCTGGTCCTGATGTGCTGTCTCGGCGTAGCTTGTTGTTGAGCCCGTTGAATAGACGGCCTATTGACTCCTTTCGTCCTCTTCGGGGAACTCTTTCTGTGACTAGCGAGTCGACGCGGTCCATGGCATCAATGAAGATGTGGAAGTCGACATCATCTTCGTAGCTGAGGTTCTCATCGCGCAGAGACATGTACTCCAGCTCGTGATGGCTCAGAGTACTCTCATTTGATGCTGTTGATGAGGTTCTTCTCGATTTGATAGGGCTGCTGGCTGCACTGTTGGTCTGGCTGGACATGATTGGTCGAAGGAGTGAAGTAAGGAAATGTGTTTCAGATTGATTGTGTATGTAGATGGCTCGGAAACAACAGTGAATTGAAGATTAATAGTGGTATGAAGGTTGAGTATGAAAGAAGGAAGTTAATTGAGCAGGGGGGAGAGTTTTAGGTATATAAATTATACTTCGTTATACTTTTTATGGGGAGGGGGGGGACGGAATAGTAGACTAGAATACGAATCTATCGAGGAGCCGCATATAATATGATGAAAGCTGACATGTCGTGCTTCCTCGGGGAGCGCAATGGCAAATCAGTCTAAGATTGTCAGCTTCGCTTCCTAAAGTAGTGCCAATCAGTTCCTTGCCCGCACCCAGGGGACCGTGACGGGTTCTCGGACCACATGTAACGCTATCAACAAGCGCATTCCTCGGCACTGTCAGTTATCAGCCAGCGGTGTACACCACCCATTCCCACACGTTGGGCGATGCTGTCAAGTTAGCGCCTTGCGTGCGTATCTGTTATGACACTATGGATGACGACTGCACCACCGAAATAGATGGGCGGATATACAAGGACGGGTTGGATTGGATGGATGCTAAAACCAGGTGATATTTCTAACAAATGACATTGGATCTTATACAGCTTGGGGTGAACATGGACCCTTTTATTTCTTCGGCTCCTCCTTCTTCTCCTCAGGCTTGGGCGTTGGCAGCTTGAAAGACTCGGGTGTGCGGTCCTGTCCGGCTCCAACGGGCTCCCACGCACTGGAACCACCCTCAAAGTTACGGAACGCCTGGGTGAGCTCCAGAGGCTCGGTGACGATACGCTTCTTCTCCTCATCGTATCGGATCTCAGTGTAACCAGTCAAGGGGAAGTCCTTTCGCAGAGGGTGACCCTCGAAACCATAATCCGTCATGATTCGTCGGAGATCGGGGTGACCGGCAAAGAAGACACCGAAAAGGTCGTACACCTCTCGTTCGTACCAGTTGGCACCATCAAAAAGTCCGGTAACACTGGGGACAGGAGAAGCCTCATCGGCGTAGGTCTTGACACGGATTCGAGAGTTGTGACGGACCGAAAGAAGATTGTAGACGATTTCGAAACGGTTCTCGCGCGTGGGGTAATCCGCAGCAGTGATAGTGCTAACCTGGGTGAACTCAGCGGCAGTGTTGTCTGTCATGTTTTAGCAGTTGCCTCGTGACCAATTGACGTGTAACCAACATTTCAAGAAGCTGAAGACAGGGTAGACACCCGAGGGAGAGATATAAATGGTGAGTTCGTCCTTCCAGACGGAGAACTGCTGGATGTACTTGGGCAGAACACCCATCAACCAGGCACCATACCGGTGCATGTTGTCGGACTTGCTCTGGTATTTGTCGGCAGGGTTGACGATCGGGGCCTTCAGGACGCTGGGGTGATCTCGAGGGGCCTTTCGCAGGTTGGGAGACTCCTTCGGCATTGCGACATATTGACGGGCAGTGCTGGACAAGCAACGGATTGCTTGCTCGTTACGGAGCTGGACGGAGGGCTTTGCGGGTCGTAGAGCTGAGGCCAACGCCCTGCTTCGAGAAATGCTTGTCGCCATGGCCGGTTGTGTGACGATTCGAGGCCAATTGGCGATGCAAGATGTCGTCGAGACGAAATACCTTACGGTGTTGGTAATGATGCCGCAAGCATTGGCTCGAGAATCTTAGCGGCAGAAGCGTGAATGAGATTTCCCGTACTTGAGCCGACAATAACGCTATACCTTACCTTCAGTGCTTCCTCCCTCATAGAGCTAGGTACCCCGCTATTTTACGTGTCCTTTGTCGACCTTCAATGACGAGGATGCCAGCACGTGATTCGAGCTGAAAAGCTAGACCGAGAATGGCTTAGCTGTATTTTCCATCTTTCACTTTCCCGCAGCCTTGATGCATACCAAACACAGTTCCTCTCCTTGTACTCACATATCTATTTCCGCCCATCGCATCTCGAACTTACTATTTCTTGCCTTTCACCTTAATTATAACCTCTCACAATGGCGCCACAAGATTCATTCATAGAAGATGAGGAGGACACCTGGTATGATTCACCGCCCGCCTGGGGGTGGCGCTTGCAGCGCACTGCTCCTTGGGTAATGTTTGGTACCCAAAGCTGACCTCTTGATAGCCCTCTCTGTATCGAAGAGTTTGATCTTTCGGATAGGAATTTCAGACCTTGTCCTTGTGGATATCAGGTATGATAAGGACAATACTTGACAGTTAAGCTTGACCTTTCGGCCACGTTGGCTAACTTTGAGACTATAGGTGTGCCAGTTTTGTTTTAACAACATCAAAAATAATATGAACGGCCTTTGTCCCGCTTGCCGACGACCCTACGACGAAAAAACTATACAGTGGAAAGTTGTTACGCAAGAGGAGTATGATGAACCCCTTGCCACCATGGTGCTATGCTGACCAACTCCTAAGGGTCGCCGAGTTTCGGGCCAATATTCAAAAGAACCAAAAGAAGCGAGCTCTGGATCAACGACAAAAAGAACTACAGAAACGCGAAGCCGAAAAGGAAAACCGTAAAAATCTGATCGGCGTTCGTGTTGTCCAAAAGAACTTGGTCTATATCACGGGTCTTGCACCCACAGTTCGAGAGGACGAACTTCTCAAGACGCTACGAAAGCCCGAGTTCTTCGGTCAGTACGGAAACATCCAAAAGATATCCATCAGTAACCGAAAGAGCTCTGATGGCCAACACCAATCGCTTGGCATTTACGTGACCTTCGAACGTCCGGAAGAAGCGACGCGGTGCATCCAAGCTGTGCACGGATCTCACAACGGTGATCGAGTCCTAAAGGCGCAACACGGCACGACGAAATACTGTTCAGCTTGGTTAAAGAACGAAAAATGCGGCAATCCTGGTTGCATGTTCTTGCATGAACAAGGCGATGAGGAGGACAGTTACTCACGACAGGACCTGTCCTCTATGAACAGTATAGGGTCTCAACGGCCTCTCCCCGGAGGCAGTTCGCGGTCGGCTTCCCGTCAACAGATTTCCCATCCTACGCCGCCTCCCGTCGTATCCCATCCGATGACGCGCTCCATTAGTAAAGAGGGTTCTGAGAATGGTGCCGATGGATCAGCTTTACCTTCCTCGGCCAACTGGGCACGCAACCCACAGCGAAGTCGCAGAGGCAGCCTTGCTACTAGTGGTGCTGCTTCGAGCCCTGCTATTTCAACAGCCCAGCCCGTCACCGCAGAGCCTGTGCCAGAAGAAGCGGTCGAAGAGGAAGATGAGGATGAGTTGGAGGAAGAGGAACATCAGCAGCCGGAGCCAGTTGCTGGACCATCATCATCAAGGAGCCGGGAGCCTGAATCACCCGCGCCAACTCAAGAGTCGCCTGATACATGGCTTAAGGAGATCTTCAAGACACTGCAAAGCTGTCCTATGCCTATCTTTCCTGATTTTGATGAAGACCAATATCCACCTATGTTTGATCCTCGCGGTGGTGAGAAGCGCCGGGCTATGCGAGAGGAGGAGGATTCACGTTTGACCGGAGAACAGGAAGAGCAACCTGAGGTTCGTGAGCCATCGGAAGGAGAACCTGAGACCGGTGGCAGCCTTGCTCTTGGAGGAGAGCCTGAAGACCGTGATACTTCTAGCGACAACCGAGGCTTCGATCGCCGACCTAGTACGCAGCCTCCTATTCAGCGACTTTCTACTGACGGGCTCTTTGGACCTTCTCTCACCGGAGCTTCACCCTTTGGCCAGAGCTCGGGGAACCCTGGCTCGCGGTCTATGACACCGCAGCAGTTGTATCTTCGATCTCAGGGCGGATTTGGCGATGCCCCTCCTGGCATAACCGGCCAAAGCAATGCTTTCCAGAACCAGGGTCAAAGCCAAGGTCAAGGCCACAACCGTCAATCCTCTCGATTTAGCTTTGCCAACGACAACGCGAGCTCTTCTACCAACGTTAAGGTCGCAGCCAACCCGCGTATCATGGCCCAGCAATCCTCTATGATGCCCAACACGTTTCCATCGCAGAGCAGCAACCAGTTTTACGGTGCCTCCATGCCTGGACCTCCTCCTGGTCTTAAGTCAACCGGCACTCCCCCTAGCATGTTCGGTCAGTTTGGTGGACAGGGCTTTGGCGCCCCCAAGGACAATTCGAGTGAGCTTCTTCAGAGTTTAATCGGCCGCGGTCGGGCTGGTAACAACCAGTCCCACGACGCGGGAAAGCGTGAGTTTATGATTTCTTCTTATTCAAACCAGTACCCACCATCCTCTACCTCAACCCCAGCTCCTTCTTCCGGGCTCCTGCCGCCTCTCTATGGTAATACACCTGGAGGGTACCAAGACATGGGCTCTAAGCAGAAGAAGAAGGGAAAGAAGCACAGACATGCTAACACTTCCTCCTCCGGGGGGAGTGGCTTAGTAGATCTTGCAGACCCGAGTATCTTGCAGGCGCGAATGCAGCACCAGTCTCAAGGCAGCGCCGGAGTCGGACAGGGCTTGTTTGGCGGTCAGAGTCAAGGTGGGTACAGTCACAGCATGATGTATAATGCGGGCTATGGACGGTGGTAGTTTTGATGTTTCTCGGAGTTGTTACAGTTTGGGAGGGTCATGTTTGGTATCCTCTCATCGGTATCGGCTTTTTCTTCTTCTTTATGCACAATGGGGGGCGTTCTTCGGAAATCAGGGTCAGGGCGAGAAAAGTTGCCTTTCATCGTCCTCGGGGGACACGAGTTTCAAACACATCTTGATTCAGCAGCATTTGCGTGATTAATGCTGCTCTGGGAGGTCAGCTTTTGCATCAGGCGTCATCTATGTTTTATTGGGGAAAACGGAGGACGACGAGAGAATATCTCGAGTCTCCTTCCTCCGACTTTTACCGGTCTATGGATGACCGCGCATGGGGGTCCACGTCAGGCAAGCCATCATCGTCTTCCACAAGCCCCCTATGTATGTTAACAAATGTCGATTTCATCCGCCTAGGTTTGGCGGTATCCTTGGTCAGAAATAGCAATACCCTCTATTCTCTCCAAATCGCCTGTTCTTCTCGTTGTCCCCCGTGGAAGACGATGTCGGTCGCCGTAGCATGACCCTGTCCCCAAAGTCTTGTATATAAATGGGGTGTTGCTCTCGTAGCGTAGTCTCGTGTTTTGCTTTACATTCAGACTGAGTGACTGAACCTGTGCTAACAAGCGTTCAGATGATGAGCTCCCATCCCTGGACGAGGCTACGAATTCTGTCGACGCTCTAGTTTCTGACGACCCTATACTGCCACCAACTGGTCTGGAAGGTCGCACATCTGTGCCTCCAGGCTTATCGTTACCCCCAGGACTACCAACCAACATATCGAGACCTCCTTCTACTCAAGGTCATGCAAAACTCACCAGCATTGTGCCAGCGTTGCCTAGAATGCCACCCCCTGGACTCTCACAAGGTTCTCTAACGCCTGACCAGTCGCCTGCAAAGCTAAATCCAGCGACACCTGTTTCGGAAGCAAAGAAAAATATCAAGTCTGTGGCGGCCGAAAGCGGACTCTCGCGAGAAATCACGACACAATCGCAACCGAAGCTTACAAAGGCAAGTTTTTTACAGGACGAGGACTTTCCGGCTTTGGATGCATCGAAGAACAAGAGTCGACCCGCAACGCCTACACCCAAGCCTACGCCAAAGGCCAAACGCCATGCTGAGAGGATTGTGGATAGAATGATGGCGAAGGCTGGAGCCAGCCTAGAGAGCACAGCCCAGGAAACCAAAGCGGAGGAGGCCAAGGTTCAAGAGACCAAGACTCAAGAAGTCAAGGCAAAGGAGAAGACCACGGCCCAGGAAGCGAAACCTGCAACATCGTCCCAGGCAGCAGACAAGAAGCCCATTGCTGTCAACACTCAGGTTGGAAAGAATGTGGCTGTGAAGGCCAGTGAACTATCTGCAACTACTGAGAAGTCAACAACAGAGACCTCCGCTGCCTTTCCTCCCTTGCCTACACCCTCGTCTACCGCAATTGCATCCCCTGTCACACGCACAGCACCAAAGACGCTGCGTGTCATTGCAACTCCCAAGGCTGAGGCACCCCCTCCTGCCTCTCCTGCCTTGACCATGGCATCGGTTGCGTTGTCAGGCACTTCCAGAGCCGTTTCTGGGAGTTACAGGCCAGATACACCTGCGAGCGAGATGATTAGTGACAACGCCTCGGTGGTGTCTGCCTCTGTGACCCATTCTCGGGCAAGCTCGCCACCCCCTAGTAGAATTGGGTCTGCTGCGGTAAGAGCCACAACCAAGAGTCAACAGCGAAAGCAACGAAAAGATGTTTTGAAGCAAGAAACAAAGTTGATCGCTGAGGCTCCCATTGCAGAGGCAGAGGTGCATGCTCCTATCATGGGACGCAAGAAGAAACAGAAGAAGGAAAAGCCTGTCAAGGCGACCCAACCAGATGCTTCTACTATCCCTGAGACTCCCGCAGACGAGCCATCCCAGCCACCATCTCAACAGGAGCCCGTCAAGGAGTCCGAAAGAGAGGCAGAAGAGAAGCCTGCCAAGAGCAAGACTCCTCAAAAGAAGTCCATCAAATCCAAGGGCAAAACAAAGGAGGTAGAGACTCAACCGGCTCCTCCTCCTCCGGCGTCTCCTAAGGAGTCTACCCCTGATGCTCAGGAGCCACCTGCAAGACCACAGCCTGATCCGGCCTCAGTCTTTTCTGAGGTCAAGAACACTCTCTGGGCCTCGAGTGTAGATAAGCTCCAACTGTTTAAGCCCATCGCCAACGGCTCATCTCGCACCGACTACAGTGCTGCTAAGAACAACGCCAACAAGGCTGAGCATTGTAAGGACTGCTCTTGTAAATGTGGAGAAATTCAAGATGATGATCTTGCAGCGCTGCGCGCAGGGAAGCCTGTCCGAAAGCAATTCCACGTTGATGGCAGCCGCATGCTCATTACCCCCAATGGTGACTGCATACGTGGTCTGACCCCTGAGGAAGAGGACGCTTTTCTAGAGCTTCAAGCTGCCATTGCCAACACGGCAGAGAACCCCGGATCGTTCATTGCCCCTAGACATCAGCCTGGCAGTGGGGCATTCTCACTTATCAAGGGCCGAGCTGTTCCCAATGGACGTCCCAACATCTTCCCCGCCACTGCCCAGCTCCAGTCTCAAGACCCCATCGGAAAGCTTCAGCGAGAGGACGCGCTTAGCTACATCAACCAGTACGTTCTACCTCGCCTCAATCTAGGTGCTACGAACATGGGATTTCCTAAGGGAGCATCCCCTACCAAGGATGCGGCTGCTGCGAGCCTTAACTCTCTCGCACCCTACTTCTATGGTCCCGATGCTGCTGCCGGTGTGGGTATCTACAGCCCTCCTGATGGAGCGCGGGCGATGCAGGACTTCAGCTCAGCTGGAATGTCGAGTGAAGAGCGTGGAAAGAACTTCGGCATGGGTGTTGGTGGAATGCCCCTGATGAGCGTGGAAGATGCAGAGGGTGCCCTTGCGGCTGCTCGACGAGAGACTGAGAAGTTGGAGAAGGGATTGAACCAGGTAATCAAGCGCAACAGGCGACTTGTCCTTGGAGGGAACAACTAAAAAACAAAAACGCCACATCGCATTGTAACAACACACTGTATTATGACCAGGGGAGTTGGGGACCTTCAATGGATGACCTATTGAAGCTGTATGATGTTATGAAGCAAAAGCGTTCCACAAAGCGACGGATGGCCTTGTATGATAATCGATAAGATCAGCGTTAGACCAGTGTAACTAGGAATCATAAGGATATGAAGAATTAGCATAAAAAAATGGAATTACGGGACACTCAGTCCTGTAAGGGTGATTCGTCAAACTGAAGAGCAACATATGAGAGCTATGCGTGAATGTTTCTCAAAAGCTCTCGACAATCTTGATTATGTCCTATTTATCAACACATGGACAAGTGCTAACGTACGTATGCAAATATTCAAGAACTAGTAACCTATTTGGGTATCAAACATTTTCCTTCTCTCCATACTTCTTCCTATGATGCGTATCATCTGGTGACCGTCGACGATCTGCCCCAAGAGCTCTCCTTGCATCAGCCGTGGCCTGTTTCTTCCCCTCGGCAGATAAAGACTCCCGAAGTCTCTCAAGCAGTCTATCCAAAATCCACTCGGTCTCTTCTTGACTTCCCATGAGTGGACTCCGATTTCCTACCCACGACCAAGCCGTTGTATCGTCAGAGACCACGTCCTTTTCAACACCTTCAGCAGTCTCATTTGTTTTCCTGCGACGAGGGTGGCGGTGGTGGTGATGATGCCGACTGCTTGGCTGTGCTTTTCCATGTGTTTCGGCATTGCTTTCATCCTCGCCAATGAGCTTAAGATACCATGCCCACTCCTCAAAGGAGTATTTGTGTGGCTTTGATGACTTGAGGTGGTTCATGAGCACTTGGATTTCTGAGATGAGGAGGAAGTGGAAGTCTGTCCCCGTTGGCAGCTCCTTGTGGGCGTCTCGAAGGCGAGATAGAGAACGACGAACTCGAGCTGTGAAAGTTGAATGATTCCGTTCTTGGCCTGGTCGCGGATCTGCTGGGTCGTCGTCTTCTCCAGTTTCTGAGCGTTTGGGCCGTCCCCGGGCGTGTTCATCAAGCTTGTCTTCTTCCTTCTTGGTCATCGAGTCTGAAGTATCAGTGCTTGAATTTTTCGAAGCTGGTTTCTTTTCCCGGTTTAATGGCGGCGGCTCGGTGTAATTAGTATACATCAGACCAAAGGTACATTTGTTGATGATGTATTTGAGATCGCTCTTGAAGTTGTCCTCTCCTGGGAGAATAGTGACATTTCCAAGACGAAGCGTTCCATCACGGATTAGTTTGACAACGGTGTCCCCAGCATTTGAGATAAGGATTGTCATGGTGGGCAACGCAAGCAAAGACCAAAAGACGAAAAAGGACTTCCCAGCGTTCGAAATAGGAGTCACGTCGCCGTATCCGATTGTTGTGAGACTGACGAAGCAAAAGTAGAAGCCATCAAAGTATTTCCAGCCTTGATAGTCTTCTTCGCACTTGACAAAGATATAGGCGCCCAAGAGCCATAGGATAAGCCACACGCCGGTCGAGATACCCATGGCGACCCAACGACGACGATATGATGTTTGGGCTTGGATCTTACGCATGAGATCGAATTCTGCCTTTCGACGCTCATATTCTGTTGCCGGTAGCTGATTGTTTGATTGCCCATCCTGGGAAACCGTAGAGTCTTGTCGTCGTGGTTCTCGGATCGGCTCGAGCACCTCATCCTGGCCTTTCTTGGTCATGGTTCGGACAATACGTCGGCGTTTCTTCTCTTCCATTCTGGCATCGACTTGTTTCTTGCCTCGCTCGAGGACAAGACTGCGGATAGAACCGATGACCAAACCGAGACTGATGACACCGACCAGAGCATATGGCATCATGAGAGCTCGTCCTAGATTTGTTTGAGCTGTGAAATCACCAAATCCGACGGTAAACAGAGTTACATCTGCCCAGTATACGGTGTCGAGATAGTTCCAGTCTTCGATATTGGAAAACACAACGGCTCCGACTAGTAAGTACAGCAGAAACATGATGGTCTGTAACATGAGAGTCCGTTGGCTGGGCGTCAAGTTGAAGTCGTTGGGATAATGGCCAACCGATGCTCCATAGAATGTTATCACCATAAGAGAAGCATCAACAAAGTAGAGAATGGCAGCCCAAATGCCGTAGTAAAACGCCTGAGACCATATGAGCTCATTCTTCGGGTGACCAAAGCCTTCATAGAGCGGTCCAGAGGCTGTAGCTAGAAGGGAGATGAGCAGAATAGCAGAGATGTACCATCCGATGATAGTGAGTGGCTGAGCGATAGTAAAGCGTACACGGCGTGTCATGTTTAGTAGGAGAAAGATATTTGATATGATGGCCATGCCGAGCTGGATAGCGTTTATGACGGTGAGCCATACTGGGTCAGCGACAAAATCTGCCTCCTTGAGAGGCTGACTGGGAATGTAGTGCTGTCTCCATGGGCGTACGAGAGCGCAGATACTGAAGGCTGAAGCAACTGGACCGAGGGTGCCGGCAATCATGGGGAATGCTGAGGAAGCAAACCACCAGCGGCTGAATAGTCAGAGATGAGTATAACGTGATGGAAGTGAAGTGAAGTGAGGTGAAGCTTACTTTGGAGCCAGATGAGCATCATCGTTTCCTATGCGTCTGTCATGAGAGACAGACTCTTCAATAACGTCAGTCTCCTGTTGGATATTATCTCCGAGATCCCCGTCGTCCATGAGGATATCTCAAGCCTATGGCGATCCAATATCAAGGATAGAGTCGATAACAAGGTAGCATATCCTAGATAAGACAATGGTAGTCTGCAGTGTAAGTCAAGACTTATATAGACTTCTTGGCAAAAAGAAGGGATCCATTTCGATTTAAGGAGAATATTCGAAAGACAGAATTCTTGGCGTGGGGATAAACATGCGCATGCCCGTTGGAATGACGTCGGGCTAGATCAGATCTTTTTAGTTGGAGGGAAACAAACGGGTTTTGATCACGAGCTAAACCAACTTTACGAGGGTTCCATGGCCTGTCAGAGACAATCGATATCATTCCATGGGGATTGAGTTGGTGGTGATCTAGCGGCTACAGCGGCTCAAATCAGGGGAATTAATGCAGAATCTAAGGAAAAGACGGCATCTGACTGCGTTAGTGGTTACTCAAGGTTTATCGAATCGATCATTGCTCCCAACGTTAGTGAGTTTGTTCGTGCAATTCAGTTCAGCTCCTCTCGATGGGATGTTAGTTGGTTATTACCGGATCATCATTTTGTGGGGTGAGCATTGTCTGGCCAATGATATCAAAGAATCATGCAACGTTCGAATTCCACTCTCCAGCCAAAACAAGCCCTTCCTCATCTCATGCATTATTCAAGGGCTCTTGATATTGGTCTTTCTACGGAACATTTTGTGCCTCTCTTTAATTGGTGATTCAGCGTTGTTTCCAGTCTCATGCAATTCGGGTTTTGTTAGTTGAATCGGCACATGACACACGAGATAATCGACCTTTGAAACCACGCGTCTTCTCATCTTCACCCACCACAGAGCGTGTAAGTCCAGTAAAACAGTTGTATCTCAACTTCGATTGACTAATCTTCTTGTTGAAGTCTTAGAAATAAAACCAGCTATCCCCTTACCATATGGATTGGTAATGCTGTAGCAGCATGCAAAGATGCCTCTATCTCCAAACCCTTCATCGTGCTGCTCGTAGTCGACTCGCCAATCCTCTCCGCAGACCATGGCAGCGACTCTATAGCATCCGGAGCCATGACCGTGTTCAGGTCCGATGCGGTTCAGCTGGCCATGTGAGCATTGAGTAAGCCATCACCTTATACTCACGAACCTATTACTAATGCTTCATAATAGCCTCATCAACATTACCGAGCAGCCAGACTCTCCACTCTTCATTCAACTCCCAGCTTCACCCGTGGATGGTAATCAACCTCCTCATATCCCCAGATTTCTCCAAGGGAAGCCGCTTGCCAGCATCAACTATCGTTGGAACTTCTTCGACGATGAGTCGAGCGAAACTGCTCCAGTCGACGATGTCTGGCCAACGCCAATCCACGATACCTTCTTCGCCTATCAGTGGATAGTCGAAAATCTTGCTCCTGAAGGTCTCAAGAGGCGTGGTATCTATGTCTATGGCTCTCACCTAGGGGCAAGTCTCGCCTCGTCTCTGGCACTCTCGGAATCACGACCGCACAAACCATTTGCGGTCCGGGGTTTGGTGGCATATAACGGAATCTACAATTGGACCATGTTCTTCCCGGACCATCCCGCAAATCAACTTGGAAAGTATGCGAATAATAGAACCAACTACTACAGGCCTCGAGAGGGAACATACGTACACTACCTTCAGCAGAACCTACCGATATTCTTCCAGTCAACGGTCGACATGTTCGATGTTTTCGCCAGCCCAAGCCTCTTCTTCCACAATCCAGGATTAAAAGTTCCTTCGTCTTACCACCTGTCGGAAGAAGAGTCTGCAGCCATCGAAGTCCTGACCAACCCGAATGCCGAGTTCAATATGAAAGAAAAGACACCACGTATGTCGAGGTTGGTGTTTCCGCCCCGCAAATCGACGCTCAAGATCCCCGAGACACTTCTGCTGTACGACACACTTCCTGTGCCGACAGCGACGAACAGATCGGGTCGGCCATTCAGTGGGAAACAGTGGGGAAACAGCTTAGAGCTACAAGCGCGCGAACTGGGCGAGATGATGCAGCGAAGTATCCAGATGGTCGAGCTGAAGGAGAGAGGATACTGGGACGCGGATGTTGGGATGTGGGAGAATGAGCCACGTCGACGGGTCAAAATGGAACATGCTGGGGAAGAGTCGGAGGATATGGTGATGGATGAAAAGGGAGAGAAGGTGGTGGAAGAGTGGTTGACAGAGAGATTATCACCATAGAATCGATCTCATGATCATGTAGGTAGAGGTAGCAATACATAGACATGTACAGTACATGCAATACATGCAGGAATAGTTCGAATGTTGGTTGATAAAGAGTTGACCTATTTTGGGGTAGCACAGCGCTAAAGCAGCGACGGAGCATTGAGAAAGCTTGTCTGGTGGGGTAATATGCGATTGGATCCCTTGATAACATCCATTGGATCAAGCGAGCGAGACGTCTCTCTTTGTGTCGTTCGAGTCTAGAACGAGCGGCTGAAGCACTTTATCAGCCAAGTTTGAGAAGCTGACTCGAGGAGATGTACAGGGAAATACAGTCAATCACGACAGACAGTGCCTATAAGTCGACTTCGTAGGTACAGTACCTGTCACTGATAGTGATTGACTCACTAAATGACATGGAAGTGGACCAGCGGCTAATCAATGCACGCTGTCGTCAGGGCGGTCTCGTTTTCAATATTAGCGTCCAGGGTCACAAGGCCTGACATGTCTAGCATCCAATGTCTCCCGTCTCTTCTGGACCCTTGACATTTCCCCTACAGTGTCAGTTTCACCTCTGATGAAATTCCACAAGGGAGATCACAGAATCAGTAAGAATGCAAGATTATAAGGATTACATGTAATTATCCATGTCTCGATTCTCTCCTCCCCCTGGGTAATTCACTCCTCCAAGTACCAGGGGTAATCTGCCGATAATCAAGATCAAGTTATTATTGCCTACCCCGTAAACATAGGCACTAAATTATCCGGTGGATCCTCTGTCACCACCCCTGGAAATGCTTGTTTTTCAGTGGCTGCCTCAGATTCCAGTTCCAGTTCCAGTTGGAATCCTTGGATGCGCAAGGATGCTTCAGTTGAGATTAGGTTGGATTGCATCCAATGTCACCCACTACCGTTACCGCTGCCTCTGCTCTGCCTCTGCCTGTGCCTGTGTCTGTGTCTGTACAGTCATGTACTGTACATGACTTACGAACTGGTCATGGCTGAGCAGTTTCATCTCCCGTCTGCCCGCCGCTATTCTTATCCTTATCCTTAACCTTCCTTCACCTTCTAACTACTAAGATACCTACTCCGTACCTTTCTACCCTTTGTCTCGACAAGACACACATCACTTCCCCAAGCTTCATCTGGTACGTTTTCTCTTGATTCCTGCATCGTGTGGATTCTATCGTCCTCTTCTGTCTCTGTCATCTTCAGACGTGCAAACCCGATAGCTTCCCAGCTTAAGGAAGCATAAGCGATAGAATCAAGCTGACCACTTATCATCAGAAATCCAATATCAAACACTATGCCTGGAATTCGTACGTCAAACCCCGACAACGTCCCCAGAACTCACTCTAATAAGCCCCTCAACAGCTCTGCACGCCCTTGACAACCTCAAGGCCAAGCTCAAGGCTGCCTTCAAGAAGAAGGATAACAAGGAGGAAGCCAAACCCGCCGACCCCAAGCCTACTGAGACAAAGCCCGCCGATACCACAGCTGCCACCGAGCCTACCAAGACCGAGGCTGA